ACACTCAAACATGATTCAGCCAGTTTTTGGCGGTGAATAAATATTATAAATATTATTATTATCGGGCATATGTTGACGGTCAATTTTGTGGCCGGATTTGTGTGTAGTTTCAGTCATTTTCAACGTCACCAGTGGAAGAAAAAGAAGGAGAAAGAAAAAGTTAGCTAAAATCTATAGAGCCATATTTCTATCGGCGAAAATGGATTTTTTTCGAATGTTATTTAACTGAGCGCCACATCCAAATTAAATTCATTTTTAACATTTGATAAAATAATACTTACCTACAGATAAATCTGTACTGAACTGTGTACAATTACACATTTAGACAATGTGTACTATACACAATCACCAAAGCCACAAAATACAAGCTTTGCTACTAACTACCAGAGTTATTATATTTTTTCTTTTTGATTTCGACGCTGCTTAATCATTGATCTGGAACAACGTTTGCATTGGCTCTTCTGCGTGCTGGTTGTCTTCTACGCAATGGTGCTCTTGGAGGTGCTGGTGCTCTGACATACGAGTTGTGCATTTCCAAATTGAATATGTAACAAAGACCTGTAATTAATAAGAGGCAATTTAAATTATTGGAAAATATACCAAATAAATTACAGTGTTTACCTTTGTACATGATGCATCTAGCCGCAACAATGTCTCGATGCCAAACGGTGCAAAATCGTTTTTGATGTTGCTGTTGTTGTTGTTGTTCCGGATATTTATCAGCGTCGCCTCCCATTTGAATTGCATTCACAGGGTTTAGTAGCCAGTTTTTCAGAAAGTACATTTTCTTTGACTCTAATCGCCCTGGTTGAAATTCTGCTGGTTGATTTGCTGGATCCATGATGCCTCTTGCGATCAATTTCTTCACGCAGCTATCTTTCTTTTTGCGTCGTTGACTCTTCTTCGTCACAATTAGCCGTGGTAGTGAGATATACGGTTCTATTTCTTGTGGTGCATTGGTGCATCGCGAGTACAGTTACGGCAAACTTTGAATCGATATTTTTGTGTTTGAATCGGGAATTTCTTCTGGCAATTCGCACAGTGTTGAGATGTGAAATCTTCATTCACTTTGTGTACATCTGAATGGCCAAGTTTTTTAACGCTGCATTGAAGATGCCGTGTACCTGGGCATCGTTTTCCCTTTTTTATGCCAATTGGTGAATTGGGTGCCATATCCACTGCTCCGATGTTTATAAGCGATGGCTCATTCTTTGTTATTACTTTCGCCAGCCAATCTTTCTCACCTTGTGACCCGATGTATTTGTCAAACGAAAGCCGTGCATAACGTCGCCGAGCATATGCAGCCACTGCATCTTTCACCATGGTTAATCGATGCCTGACGTAATTTCTCCATCGGATTCCTCGCGGTGATGGTATCGATGGATAGCTTTCACGGTCCAATTGCTCTCGTTGCGTGAATCTGGCAGTCATACGCTTTCCCATTTTGTCTCTGACTTTTTGTCCGGCACCCCAATGATATGACTTCGAAGATATCTTGAAATTCTCCTTTAACAAAAAAATTTAAAAATGAGCATTGATTTTTGTAGAAAACATTTTATTTAAATATAAACTCACCTCAGTGCGATCTTCAATATTCCGACGAATTCCGGCTAAGTATGTTTTCATACCGGGATCAATTGCGACGATGTATTTATACTCATTGTTCTCGAGTTTTTGCTTGATTCTTTGTCGATGCAGCTCCGTATTCTCGATCTCAGGCTTTGGTGTTCTGTACAATACCGACGCGGAAACGCTATCGCAGACTATCATATGATGAAACTGTTGGTTCGGTTTCTTGATCTCGTTGATTTTGTCCATGTTGAACAAAATGGCCCATGCTTCATCTTCGTTCTCCTTGTAATAGTTACGGCTATACATATTATGCCCTCCATGATCATTGTTAAATATCTTCGGCACAACTTTCCATTGGGCCAGCAGGCTCATCAAATCATCTTGATCGAATTTAATGTGTTTCAACTTCGAGTCACATATCGGTATGACGGTGAAATTTCTTATTTTTGGTGGCAATGGCTTGGATGGTTTGCAATAAAAAAGCGGATGGCGTTGGTGTCGTAGCCATAATTGCACAAGATCGTGATGCTCTTCCAAAAATATACTTATTTCACGTTGAATGAAGATGAAAAACCACAACGATTCAAACCACTTTTTCTCGATGTATTCAATCATTGACAAATATTCGCGAAATGATGGTAAACAGCGTACGGCGACTTGTTCATACAACTCATTCATTTTGTTCGTTCGGTGTTGATCGCCTCCGGTACAATCTTGATTGAACATAAGATTGTTCTTTGCATTTCTTATGTCAATGCCATCAAATTTTATGAGCCGATTAGGGTCTTCGTTCAATTGATAGCGAATCATTTGCAAGAAGCTCTCCAATATATTATCTAAATGCGTTGTCAAATTTGTCGTAACATTTGTCAAATATTGTTGATTCAAGTATTCAAATGCGTTGCCCATTTGGTACCTACTTGGCCATTCAAATTGATCATCGGCAATCATTTCAAGGAATCCACGTGGTATTTTCGGTTGTTTTGGATTTTCCGAATTTTCTCGTGATACGGCGGCGAAACACTCACGTATAACATTTTTTCCATCACTGTCAATGAAATATTGCCGATCATCGTTATCTGCTGCAAGGTTGACAACATATAAAAACAATGTCGAACCTAGGTAGCATATTACTGTACCATTGTAGCATTTATGGAAAAAATGCTCTGTTAGCGCTTCCGAATATTCAGACTTGAATACCGAAGGCGCTGACAGTTTTATCGATCGCAACTCTTCATTGTCGTTCAATTTTGCCGTATTTTTCTTAAAGGCTGAATTTATTTTTGCACGTCTCCTCTTCAAAAAAAAACACGAAAAAATTGTCAAATTCGTGGCACACAGTCCATTGATCACTTCAAAAAAAAAATCAAGAAAAATGGTTCGTTTTTGAGTACTTACCAACAACACTGTCACATTCACTGCAAAATGACAAAAAGCGCGTTCGAAAATGTTGTATTCACGATGCAATGGTCGACAATTAGAACACAAGGCTAGCGAGAGAGATTAAATAATTGCATAAATTTAATAAAAACACTTTTTCATTTGAAAAATATATATACAAATATAGAGCGGTCAAAGAGACGCTTACTGCTGTGAAATTCTTTACTAAACTGTGGAATCACCTCAAAAATGCACCCGAATTTATAGGGAATTATTGTTGAATCGACAAAAGTAAACCTTTATTAAAAATGGCCGATGATCAAAATCGAAATGTAAATCACCGTATGAAAATATTATTTGTAAAATAGCATAACAGCACTCTTGGTTTGAAGCACAATCTTGAAAATGAACAGAAACTGTTTTTCAAACGTTTTGATATGAAAATGAGATTTTATTTGTGTTGTCGAAGAAAACGATTTATTTAGTTACTTTCATTTCACCATCAGAATATATTGTGTTCTGATTTACAAAACAACTCCTTCTGAAATGTTACGATTGAAACTAATCAACACAATGCACCGTACACATTTGAAGTAACAATCAAAATGAACGTCGGCGAGAAATGTCAAATTATAAACAAAGAGAGATGTGTGATTTTCGGTTGAAATTTGAATTTTGCTGACACAAGCAAATTAAGAAAAATCTGACTGAATACACAGAGTGATACATAATGTATATGTAGACAGAAATGCATATGAATAATCAATACGTTGTATCAAATGCTGTTATTGCTTACGAAGCATACTGTTAATCAACGAACACACATAGCTATCACACGGAGTCTGTCGAAACGTTTTATGTAAACACAATCGAAAAGAGAAATGTTTATGTATGCGATGCGATTATTGTTTATAAAAATGCTTTAAACTTCAACTCCGACATCAAGTCTCACACCAGTAAATAAAACAAATGGAAATATTCTATTGAAATATATTACTCTTTTGCATACAATTTTCTTTCAAAAATTACCACTAAACTGGGCCAAAACATTACATTTTTCAACGTTAAAATGAATAAAAAAACATTACATTTTTGTTTGTTGGGATTATTAGGTTCTCATTTATCCTCACTAAAATGTGCGCAAAATACAGAGATTTCACTTCTTGTCACATGATTAAATATTCGGAAGCGGTGCTACTTTTTTTTGGTTCAACCAGTATGTGGTTGTGTGCCGTTGTCGCTGAGCAGGGGATGCAATTTATGTTAACTGCAATGTTTCGCCTGTTTTAGCTATTAAACTTCAATAATAATCCGACTATTAAGGTGCTCATACAAAATGTATTCCAAATATTGTCGTGTTTTATGTATCATTTGTTGATGTCGCTGGTGTGCTGTTACCGTTGATATATATATATATATATATATGACATATATTATATGTGTTATTCACAACAAACACTTACCCCATTTTACAGGGTGTACCTTACAAGCGGTGGGCGCTGGTATCGAAGATTTTTTGTTGAAGATTCAACGAATTTGACATCTATTAAAAGACATAAAGACTTTTGTTACTAAAGAACACACTGACTCTGATTTTATGTGTCCGTTTGTATTGCAAATTCTGCACTCAGTTGTCAACCGTAACTGCTTGTGCAAAATTTATAACACATACGCATAAACAGAATCGAAGTCAGTGTTCTCAGTACTAATACGTTTGCAATACAGCTATATAGTTCGCTAGAGCTATGTCAACACAGCAGTAGTAACGAAAATCTTTATTGTCTTTGATAGGTGGCGTATTGTTGAATTTTCAACAAATATTTCCATACAAAAAGTGCTTCACCAGCGCCCACCGCTTACAAGTGAGAGTGTTTTTTTAATAACCCAAAGAACATTTAAGTGATTTCTTTGAGTTTGGTGTTTTTTAAGTATATCAGATATCTGAATAGCCACTAATATTTTCCAACGCTGGTGCTCAGCAGCTGAGCGCGTTAAATACAACACAACATCAGCACAAAAGTTAATCAGAAAGTTACTCAGATAGCTGATATACTGCCCAGAACAAAACTGAATTAAAATTTTGAATCCAAACAAAAAGTTTTTCGATATTCCAAATTTGCTGAGTTATTTATGATACACCCTCTAACTTCATTAAAATCAACTACAATGACAACAATAATAACATGATTCAGGTCGGCTATGACGCATATATATCGACTATATTAAATATTTTATCAAAATCGATCATTAACATTCACTTTATTTCGAATTATTGGCAGATTTTTGCAATTTTCATAAATGCGAGGTCGAAAATAGAATTTTCTGATGTAACAGAAGAGCTAACGCAACACCACTGCAAATTCTTTTGTATATGCATACTTTTGTCAATTCATAAAATAGCTATTATACCTTGCTTTTTACTAATTCATCATTAATTTTTTTCGCGTGAAAGCACTTTCCATTTTCATTTTGAATCACATTTCGTTATATGGAATTGAAGGATTGAGTGTACGCTTGCACTTGATTTTAAAATTCGCTTCAATGCTTCTGTACCATTTCGCCAATTTAGTATTTGCTTCCGTTTCATATTCCGTTTTGCCGCAATTAGAACCATAAACATTTGTCTCAAAGAGATATTATGGAAAGGATAAAGAGGTGAGCGCCACAATTTGGAAGCTTAACATTTTTCAATTACGTACACATTCAAATATTAGTGGAAACATAATTTGTTGCAATGGAAAATCCAATTCAGAAAATCATTCGAATTCATATATATATTTTTTTAAAGAATTCATTTTTCATAAAGTTCTTGCAAATTCATTAAAAAGTTTTTGAATAGAAGAAAGTAGAATCCAAAACAAAGATAACATTTTGTGTATGTAAAGCGATGCTTATTTATCTATCTGTATTGCTCACAAAAATCATATAAATCGCATTAAATATGCACAAAATATATATTTGAAAGCTTATTTCAATTACTTTGTGTGGAAATGTAGTGTGTAAGAGAATATATGTGATGTTTTACATGCATAACATGTGATCAAACGAAAAACCAGCGGAAGAAAGGAACGAAAAAAAATATTAATACAAATGCGCTACGCTTTTCATTCGCCTTCTTCAGTTTTCAGTTTTTCTTGGTTTTTTTATATTGCTACTTCGTCTTGTATACAATTATTTCCATGCCAAAGAATGGCACAATTGCCTTCAATATACATGGAACAAAATGATTCTATGTACTTTATGCCAACAAATGTTTTGCTTTCCGTCTATCGTACAATTACAGAAGATGTTTCTTCTTTTTCATTCTGCTGCTTTCACTTTGATTCTTTTGGTTATTCGGTGAGCATATAACATGCACGATGACGATCTGTATGCATTCGCTTTCATGTTTTTGCCGATATTCACACACATATACATACAAACCAAATGACTTGAAATGTGTATGTGCACGTGCAGTGCATGCTTTTCTTCTATCTTCGTCTTTGTTGCGGACTGAATTTAATTAAGTTGGTTTCAAGAAAAGCAAGGCAAATGAGACAATATATGTATATTAAGAAGAACGAAGCAAAGAGAAAAATTCCGTCTCGAAAAGAGGAACATTCAAAACAGAATATAGAATGGAGAGAAACAAACGCACAAAATCTACATGTATAATCGAATAAGTAACATTCATGCGGATAAAATTTAGCGTAAGAATAATAAGCTTTAACTACCAACAATTTTCCTCTTAAATGACGAACAAATGAAGGAAGGAGAAAAAAAAATCATCAGAGCAACGATTTCTTACCACCATAATTACATTTGACAACATTCCACCAGCACGGAAATTCTCACTATATTTGCCTTGTCCGAGCGATTTTTTTTTTGAATGATTTGCTCAGGATCCATTTACAAAAAATTAACATAATTCAGATCGAAGCTAATCGGTTGACCTAGTTTACATTACATTCACTGGCTGGTAAGAATTGTAATGTTCTTTTTTGCCATTTAAAAACTTGAGATAGTTCTGTGCTATTTTTTCTGTAAAATTGTATTTAATTTATTTGGCAGTTCGCGGCTGTTCTTTCAACCAGTCCAACAAAAAGCTTTTTCTGATTGTAATTGATTTACATTTTATGATTGGAACGCATTTTCGGCAATATATCGCAAATTCCATGAATTTCCAAATGAATGACAATCTTAATCACTTTCAAACTCTTTTTATAGCTTAGCATTTTTTTTATGTAAAAAGGAGGCATTAATGAATATGCCACAATATAATAACATTATCATTGTCATCATCATTATCATCAACAGAATTCGTTATAAATTTCAATTGGATCCATTTCAACCAGACATTATAATGAGATATTTTCAGCCAGATGAATCAGCTCAGCCAGATATCGTCAGATGCTGAAATGGAGTGAAAACAATAAAAGTGATTGTTATAGTGATTGTAGCAATGTAAGTGTAATTATAACCATAACAATCATTCCTATTGTTTTCACTAAATTTCAGCTCCTGACGATATCTGGCTGAGCTGATTCATCTGGCTGAAAATATCTCATTATAATGTCTGATTTCAACTCTTTCAGTATCACTTATTTTGGCATCATTTTTATCTGGCTGTGTTTTGGAAATTTCTTTTCCACATTTCCGTTTTAAAGAAAAACTTTTCAATTATTCAAATGGCATTGAGTCAACGTTGACAGTTTCGATGTACGCTTACGTCCCTCTTTATATAAATAAACATGTTGTTTGCATTCACTGCAGTAGAGAAGAAGAGAAAAGCTTTCATACAACCGAATGCTTCAAAAAAAAAAAAAAAAAAAAAAAACAGAAATGTCTTCATTGATATGCTACACGATACATTGCTGCTTCCGACGATTATGTTTTTGAACATAACAGACGAACATACGGTCTGTGATCGATATGAAAAATTTGTCAACAAAGTACGTATTGCAAAAATGGCAATCCGTTTGTACCCAACATATTCCATTAGGCAAATTAAAAATCGATTAAAAGATAATAAATGTCATTCGCCAATGAATGCGAACGTGAAGGCAGGCCAATTGGAAAGATTAGGATTCAATGTGAATTTGATTGAATTTGTCACATCGACACGAACCACAAGTGAATTTAAATCGATATCCATAAATCTTAATAACCAAATGGTATATAATGGATTCAATGATAACGATACATATGGATAGTCGACTAAAAACTCTATCTCTTTCTTTTCCTTATTTTTCAAAATTTCAAATTATACAAGCGTCGAACATCATTCAACCATAAACATCAAAAACGTACATATTTTTTATTCAACAACTGGTCTGGTAAAATGTGAGAATATTCGTTTCTTTATTTTGTCCTGCCATAAATAAGCCATTTCATATCCCACTGTATTTCGTTGGCAAGAAAAACTTTTCAAAAAAAAAACTCCCAAAATGAATACCAAACTTTTTTGCTGTCAAAATAGATGTGAAATCATGATGAATTTTTCATAGGATTTCTCTCATTTTTGTCATGTGCATGTGTGCGCGAGTGAATATGAATGCATAGAAAAGGGTGCTTGGCAATAGAGTTACAGTTACGTGCTTGATAATTCTATTGAAGTGAAATTCATTTTGAATGACATAACGGAATTCGCTTATCTGAAATTCACAATTTTTGCTATATTGTTTGGTGTTTCATTCTCTCTGCATTTTAATTGTTGATTTTTTGGATATTTTTTTAATACAAACACATACTCAAACACGCGCGTGTTATGCTTAAAATGTGAACTATAACATATATGAAAAAAAATTAATTGAGAAATCTAACATTTTTTTTATAATAATGGAAGAGCTTAAAGTTTTAACAATACACGTATGTCATAACAATAAAAGACGGATTTTGGTCATTTAAAATAGTCACATACAGACGATATAGATAGATAAAAAATGCACTCTCAGTCATATGCATTACATCAGTAATGTGCGAGCTACATTTTGGGGGGGAGGAGGGCTGGGTGATTTTTCAAAAATTAAAAATTCTCTCATCTGAACAACAAATGTCGTTTTTTTTTTGGAAGTCACTTTTTGAGGCGAAAATTCCTAGCAAATCGGAAGAATTTTCTCGGTCAAAAAAAGTGAAGAGCAAAAAAAAAGGTCTTCACTTTTAGAATCACAAACCCTAGCAAATTCGAATAATTTTCGCGAAAAAAATTTTCTCATTCAAATCACAGGGGGAGTAAACCCCCCCTTACCCCCCCTTCGCACATTACTGCATTACATGTTCAAACAATTTACTCATACGAAAGTAATGTTCAGCGAATCCGGTCAGAAATGAAGTGATATTTATGGTTCACACGAACACATTCGTGAGTGGTTAATAGTGATTTACGTTGTTGTCAGTATGTGGCTGGTGCTGATGATGCTACTGCTGTTTTTTCTTCAATGCGAACGTGAGCCCTGTTTCAATGGCAGAGCAAACAAACGGTACAGATTT